TTAATTAATAAGATATCATCTCTCCCTTAGCCGGAAATAGCAAGGATCTACAGAGAGGGCAGGTAACTTGACCTTCATCAACCCAATAATCCAAGCACTTTCTATGGAAAAGATGCGAACAGTTGAGCAACTCTCTGATCTCTTCGTTTCTCTCAATACATTCTAAGCAAACAGAACATACGGAATTGGTATCTTCATCATCATTATGAGCTCCAAATCTTTCTATAAAGCTGCTATATTGTACAACTGGAAGGCTCTTCTTGATCAAGGATGTTAGTATGTGGAGTGGGACAGTGACAATCGAAGGATTTGGACCATCTATAACAAGAACATAACCAGTGGCAGTGGGATCTTCTTGAGAATTAACTTCTTGTAATGGTGACGGTGGTTTGAGCAGACCCAGATGAGCGAGTAACGTCATAAACATCAACTTGAAATGGCTTAGCTTCTTCACCAGAAATGTGATGCTGATGCATCTTGTCATCTCCATCAAAACATACACCAAACCCATGTGTGTTTTTGCAAGGCCGAGATTGAGTTTGATTGGGTTATATTTGTTTGTTGCTTTGCCTCAGGAATCTTCTTCTTCCGGCCACCATTATGAGTTGCCTCGGCAGATGTCTTTTGTCGCAACCTACCTTTCCCCAAAACTTATAAATAAACGTCCACTAAAACGCCCTTAACCATTAAATAATGCTTCCAAATTTTGAATTCTATAACAGCATCATTACAAGGAAGAGCTGTGCTTATTTTAATGGTTTCATATTCAAATATATGATAATCAAACCAATTATTCTATTAATTAAATAAAAATCTTAGTGGGTGTTTGGTGGGAGTTTATATAATATTATTAGGGTTATGTCATCTTATATTACTTGATTATTATGTTTGATTATCAAATAATATAAGATTTTGATAATCTTCTAATACCAATAATAGTTATGATTAGTAATATTGAAGGTAATCAGATTATTTTTATTTTCTTAGGTATTGTAAAATTACTAAGGTAATCTTATTTTTATTACAATTTTATTCTTTATTAATAAAAATTTTGGACAATAATATCCTTATTTTAAAGTCAATTTACATTAATCCACCATCACAATTTTACCCTTGTTTAATTAAGTTTTTGGATAATAATGTCTTTATATTTAAAATAAATTACAGACCACCATCGTCGATAGTTGGCCAACCACCATCGTTGCCAGCTGGCCAATCACTGTCGATCTCCACCGGAAAGTCTTCGGAATCGCTAAAAATGACCGAGAGTCATTGGGAGGCTCTAATATGACCGTTTCTAACAATATTGATGACCGAAACGGTTATATCAGAGTAGATCTAATCGAAAATGGATAGATCTATTATGATAATTTTCGGCTAGATGGATCTAACATCCTCAAAACAAAGCGCACCCTAAAGTAATCATGTTAAGTTTATTTAAAAGTCAAATAAATTGTTATATACCATTATCTGGCTTTGAGTAAATGCATTGAAGGAAGTGACAAGAGTTCTAGAAGAGGTGCGTAGTGGGAGTTCCCAAAGAAGCCCGATGAATAAAGGTGTTGTTATTTACTTATTTTGTTCGCCGTAAAGAATACCAACTTGCAAAAGCCCACCAACCAACCAATTCAGTCTGATAAATCGTGCTCTACCAGGAAAAGGTAAAAGGGAAAAGAAAACACCATAATCTGTATTTTAATCCAGTTGATACACCACGTTCATTCCCTTTGGTCGTTTTAAATTGTTTTTTTATTGATGATGAAGATGATGACGAGTTGACGATGCAGTTTGAGTTTTATTAATATTGGGCTTGAAATCCACTACGAAGGCCCAATAATTTAGTATGGGCCTGGGAAGAAGATGACGGTTCAAGTATGGAAGATACAATCCTCCATTGGTTTTATCCAAAACAGCTCTTCTCCTTTCTCAATCTTTCACAGCTTCAATGGCTTCTTCTCTATCCACCTCCTCTCTGGTTCCTTTTAAGAATGTTGATAATGGTAGACTTTCCTCTTCTATGTTCCCTTCACCCATCAACTTATCCTCTAACTCAAATATTTCTCTCCAATTCTTCAGCAAGAAACCATCTTCGCTTCTCTCTTCCAGTCCTAGATTTCTCACTGTCATTGCCATGGCTCCTCCTAAGCCTGGAGGAAAATCCAAGAAAGGTATCCCCTTTATACCCATTTCTTTCATTTTGATTATATGAATTGACTTGATTTGGGTGTTTGAATTTGCAGTGGTTGGATTGATAAAGCTGGCTCTGGAAGCAGGGAAGGCCACACCTGCGCCGCCTGTGGGGCCAGCTCTTGGTGCAAAGGGTGTAAATATAATGGCTTTTTGTAAGGATTACAATGCTAGAACTGCTGACAAAGCCGGTTATGTTATTCCCGTTGAAATTACTGTTTACGATGTACGTTACTCTCTTCTTTCATTTTCAATTCGAATGCAATGCAAGGTTTATCATTCTTTTGTTTTACTCATGTCTTTGTTTTCAGGATAAGAGCTTCACTTTTATTCTCAAGACCCCTCCTGCTTCTGTTTTGCTGCTCAAGGCTGCCGGTATGCATCTATTCTCACCAAGTGTTTGATCATTTTTGCTTCTATTTACATGTTCTGTTTCTTCCCTTAATTTGGATCCTGCACCTCACTTTTAGGTGAGGTTTGCCAATATTAATGTTGGTTTTGAGCCAAGAAATATAAGTTTCAATTTGGTAGTCACAGAAGAATTCAATTTACTCATAGAGAGACGTACATAGAGAAATAAAGATGCTCTATTGTTGAGGGCTAAAAATTTTCTTATATGCCATAATCACCATGTTCTTAGTGGAGCCGGTGCCAAACACTTGTTGTTTTGTGTTGATTGTATCTTGCTTGTTCTTTTTTTATCTTACTTTTGTAACTCACTTAATGACATGGTCTTGGATCATGCAACCATATAAGAGAAACACAATTATGACTTGAAGTTGAAGAATTGGTGGTTTCCCTTCTTGGCTTGTCAGACGTTGAAATGAACCGAATCCTATTCTCTAGGAATGATGATTTGAAATAGTGAAAATAGCTTCCTTGTGACATTGTCTTCGGAATATGAACTAAACTGACTGCAGAACTAGTGTAAGGTGTTTTGAACGTATACATGAGCATGCCACAATCTAGAGATATCTGTGACAGTATGCTTTAAATTACTTGTTTCGTCTGGTTGTGATTGTCATTGAGAAAGAGGATATTTTGCCCATGCTGAATGAGTTAGACCCTGCTCAACAGAGAGTTTGTTATAGTAGAATAGTGGTATATCTTGATTGTAAATGGTTAAATTGATTAATGATTACTCTGCATACCATTCTGCCATTTAATCTTCACGAGTATAAGATAGTCATTTGCTTATACTGGACACTTCTGTAGGAGTGGAGAAAGGTTCGAAAGACCCAAAGTTAGAGAAAGTGGGAAAGGTTACCATTGAACAATTGCGGGCCATTGCCACTGAAAAACTTCCAGATTTGAATTGCACGACTGTTGAATCAGCCATGAGAATTATAGCAGGTACTGCTGCTAATATGGGAATTGATGTTGATCCTCCTGTTCTTGAACCCAAAAAGAAAGTAATCCTGTAGTTTGATTAGTTCTTTTGTAGCTGTATGGTAGTAATTATCTTACTTGAAATTCATCAAATTTTATGATGTAATATCCTACACATCCAATTTTTTTGTACTTTTGAGTTGTAATTTGGTTTCTTAATGATGAATGGAGGCTGGAGCTGCATTAGGAATTTTAGCAAAGTTTTCATCTTTCAAATGCAACACTCTTATGAGTTTAGGATTATTTATGACAGAATAATACTATGTCACCTTATCAAAGGTTTCATTACATATAATATCTGCAAATGAAATTGAAATGGATTTTCCAGGATAATTCTTCAGCAGTGTCAATTGGGCATGAGAATGTGCCCAAGGACAAGGGTCCATGGTTCAGACTCCTTGGTAGTCAATTTGCCTTCTCCGGGTTTTGCATTCTTTGCGAATTGCGATTGAATAACTAAAAACTATTGTGTTTGCAAACAATCTCTTATAGACTTTATTCTATATTGAAGTTAGCTGGACTTTATTTATAATCCCCTGTTCTTGAACCGAAAAAGAATTAACTCATATAGTTTGATTATTTCCACGGTTGTTGTATGCAGTGGCAAGATTTATGATGAAATATCCTACGCATCCGATTTTTGGTTTCTGAATGGTTGAAGGCGGTAGGTTTATTAGGAATTTATAGCAGAGTTTTCATTTTTCAAATGATGAAATACCAGACAGACACCATTTCATGAGCTTGGAATCATCTCTCTGATAGGAATTGTTCCACGTCATATTGATAGAGATTTGCTCTTACAGGGCATGCTACTGAAAGGGGTAAAGATATTTGAGGATTGAGTTTGATTAAGCAGACAGAAAAGAATGATTCGTAACATAATTATTAACAAAGACCGAGTGTTTTGACATGGACAAACAAAAACACAAAATAGAGTGAGTGGTAATAATGGTTAGTAAGAAGTGTATAAAAAATACCAATAATACTATGCTTACTCACGATCTTACTAACCATCTTACTATCCTGTGTAAATATAAAGCATAGTATGGGTACCATACGCATAGTATTCGTACTATGCGTTATATTTACATAGGATAGTAAAAGCATTTCCAATGGTGCTTTTTATTTTAAAGAGCATATTTCTTATAAATAAAGAGTATCTTTGTTGATTTTTAAATATAAAGAGCAAAAATTTTATTTAAGTCCAATAGACTCTTTATTTTAATTCTTTATTTTGAATTTTCCCATAAAGCATTTATGATTTTAATTTTTTCTCTCTTTTCTTTTTCCTAAATTTCCCTCTTTATATTTCATTACTTTCTCTCCATTTTTCTTTGTAAGCTAAACTGTTCCTTTTATATTCAATTGATCAATTCCATCTTCTCCTGCACAATATTTCCACCTCTTTTCCTTTCCATTACGCCATGCTTTCTACTAGTTTAGTCGGTGTTATTCTTAATGATTCTGATTCAGATGATGATTTGGAGTTGACAATATCTGCCATAGGAGAGTTGCTTAATAAAAGAAGGAGGACATCACCACATCGCGGTTCAGTTTATGGTCATGCCTATATATGGCGTGATAGAGTTCATGGGCATCACAAGCTTTTTCACGACTACTTTGGAGAAAATCCTGTATATTCTCCAAATTTATTTCGAAGGAGGTTTCAAATGAATCAATCTCTTTTTCTTCGTATTCAATCTACTGTAGAAGCTCATGACCCATATTTTGTTCAAAAAAGGGATGCTATTGGATTTTTGGGTTTGTCTTCTCTCCAAAAGATCACTACTGCATTAATGATGCTTGCATATGGAGTTGCAACAGATTATGTTGATGAATATGTAAGGATTGGTGAAAGCACTGCAGTTGAAAGTCTTAAAAAATTTGTTAAAGCAATAGTTTCAATTTTTTCGAAGAAGTGCATGAGATCTCCAAACAAAATTGATATTGATAGATTGTTAAAAGAAGGTGACAATCGTGGGTTTCTTGGAATGTTAGGAAGTATTGACTGTATGCATTGGAAATGGAAAAATTGTCCAGTTGCTTGGAAAGGGATGTATGTTGGTCATGTTCGTGAACCAACTATAGTTCTTGAAGCTATAGCTTCATATGATCTTTGGATATGGCATGCATTCTTTGGACCACCAGGATCACATAATGACATAAATGTTTTAGAGAGATCTTTTTTATTTACAGAACTTGCTGAAGGACGTGCTCCACCAACTAACTATTCAATCAATGGTCATGACTATACAATGGGATACTACCTTGCTGATGGTATATATCCTTCATGGTCAACATTTGTGAAAACAATTCCATTTCCACAAAGTCATAAACACAAACAATTTGCTGTAGCTCAAGAGTCAACAAGAAAAGATGTTGAACGAGCATTTGGAGTGTTGCAGGCAAGATTTGCCATTGTGCGTGGACTAGTACGTTTATGGCATCGTGAAACTTTAAAGGACATTATGAAAGCTTGCATCATATTACACAATATGATTGTTGAAGATGAAAGACATGTTAAAAATTTAGATTATAATTATGATGTATTTGATGTCAATCCAGACATATCAATTTCGCATGAGCATACGGCAAGCTTTTGGAATTTGTTCAATGTCATCGTCGCATTAGGGATAGAGATATTCATTCTCAACTACAACAAGACCTAATCAAGCATATATGGAAATTACATGGAAGTCATATGTAACTTTTTAGTTTCGTGCTAATGGTGTTTGCAGCATAGGTTGGTTTTGTGGCATGCTGCTAGTGTATTCAATCTGCTTTTAGTGCCTAAATTTGCTTTCTGCAAGCCATTTTTTTTTTAGCAAGCAAACAAACAAACTTTATAAAAAAGGCCAAAGCAAATTTAACCAAGAGTTACAGCATGATTGAAAAAACAAACTTTATAAAGGAGGCCAAAGCAAAATTGACCGAGAGTTATAGCATGATTGAAAGAGAAAGAATAAAGCAACAAGAAAACTGTAGAAATAGACCTGAAAGAAACTAAAAAGCAAAGTTACCACAACAGCAACAGAGCTTCCACCACCAAAACTGACATTTTTTTTTACTAATAAGCATAACAGAGCTTCAACCACCAAAACTAAAATTTATCAATTTTTAGATCTCCTTTCACTGATTTCTTTTTGACGTTGAATATAAAAATTTGCAAGCATTTGAGGCATCCCAGCTGGATCTATAGCCATTATCCTTTCATCCTCCTTCATTTGCTCTAATTGCAGCTTTTCTTGCTCATAAGCAAGTCTCTCTTGTCCTTGAATATATGCCTTTTCAAATAACTCTAATTTCTTTTCATTGAATTGCCTCTTTTCGTCTCTCATTTCTTGTAATAAGTTCACATATGAACCTGTAGGGTCATTTTCCATATCTTTTGTAATAGCCACTACTACTCAAATATTCATAATGAATTACATATAAAATAATATAAAGAAATTGGGCCCAAAATTTTTCTTTTTATTAAATATGTACATATATTCTTTACAAACATATACATTGTTACACAAACTTGTAAAGTATACAAAACTATTAAAACATGGTGGACAGTGTAACCGCTTCCCCTCGCGTGTCGACGTCCATCCGACTGCGTCCTCACCTGGATCCTACAAAACATAGGAAAACAACGGGGTGAGCACTAAAACAATGCTCAGTAAGTAAATCCTCTACTCATGCTAGCCCCGTAACTCTCTCTCTTTAATTCTTTCCTTACAACTCCTTGTTCAACTTCCCTTTGGGTACTTCTCTCTTTTTCTCTTTCTCTTAGAACTCTTTTCTATTACCTCTCTTTAGTAAGTCACGACCCCATCTTAACGGAGGCACGGCCGGGACTCACTCCCACTCTACGTGACCTCTACTCATTCTAGCCGATCGGACTCGGTTATGCATGGATTCGGAACCCTTGGCCATGTGAGTGTATAATCTCTCTCTCGGGTACTCGGGTATAGCCCTCATCCGCATGCACTCTCACGGGCTACACCACTTCTCTATCTCATACTCATGCCGCTCTCTCAATGCGGCGTACATGCGGGAATACTCTACCCATTACTCACGGGTTCCCCGTCGCACAACCTACTCTATTCTCTTTCTCTTAACTCTTAAAGTAGCTTATACTCAAACTCTCTACTAAATATCAAGCTACTTCTCAAGTGTATAAACAAAAGTGTAGAGCTAGCTCATGCTCCCTAATGCACTAATGAAATGCCAACTACAAGATTTCCTCAAAACCGTCATTCTGCACAGGTCACACTAAACCAGACCATAACTTTCGTTATACACCTTTGATTACTACGGTTTTGGTCTCGTTTAAAAGCTTAGAAACAGGGCTACACCTTCTATGTTTTGGTCTCACGCCAGTTCAGTCCGTAAGATACCAAAAATTACTTAGAAAGTTACGGCAGGGACAGGCAGATTTCACTTAGGCTTTTCATCAAGCAACTCATGTGCATAAAAACACTCTACTAAATTACTACTATACTTCATTCTCCAGCCATCCAAATTGGGGAAAAACTCCCTCAAATACTCATAATCCCTGTTAAAAGCACTCCCAAAAACTTCAACAACATCTCTCAAACTTCATCTCAAATTCCATCTCAATACACATTAAAACACTTCTCATACATGGAATCTATCCAACACGACAAAAATAGCTACTCATTCAATTCAATTTTCTCATTAATCATACTACATACTGATCATGCATACACTCTACACAAAAAGCTTGTTTAAAACTCAAGTTGGTTGGATTTACTTACCTTGTGCAAAGATGACTTCTTTAGCACTTTTCCTTCCCTTTGTGGTCTTGTCTCTTCTCTACAACTCAAAACAACCACAAGGACAGCAACACCACTAGACTTCCCTATAATTATAAGAAAATTCACATCTAAAGCATGAATCCTTACCTTAGGTGCTTTAGATGAAATCTCTACTCAAACCCCTCTTAAATCCCTTAGAAAACTTGGAAGATTGGATGGAGAAATTGAAGAAAATGGGCAAATGGAAGAGGCGGTGGAATGAAATGAATAAAGGCTTTCTCTACACTTTACTTCTTTTTAGTTCATATTATAAGCATCCTTTCCCATTTTGCCCTTCCCTTTCTTGGAAATTCCATCTTATCCTTTGATTCTTTACAAATACACCCCCATCCAAACACAATCTCTACTAAATTTCCTTTCTTTACTCCCCACTTTTCCTACTAATTAGGGGTAGAATGGTCATTGTGCCCTAAAAGAAAATTCTCTAGAAAACTCAAGAAACTTTGTCTTAGCGCGTCGCCGCGGCGAAGAACTTGCGTCGCCCCGGCGAAACGGAAGAACCTACCCATGGGTGCAATCTCCTCCTCCTCGCCGCGGCAAAGTCTTATTCTTCGCCCCGGCGAAGATTGAATTTCCAAACTTCACCAAAATTCAACCAATTTCAAGGTAACCAATCAACCAACTCAACATACATGAACAAATAAACTCAATTGAAGCTGAAACAGTAAACTTTTAACTAATACAGCAAATCTTAAATACGTACCTCAAGTGGGATATTACATCTTTGCTCTTCCTTTTCTTTCTATCTTTTTCAGCTTTCCTTCCAGGTGGTCTCTCTATGTCCACAAAGTCAGGACTTGTAATGTTGTCATCTCTAAAATTCACTTGAGTCTCTGATGTAGGAGTAGGACTTTTGTCTTTCTTTTTTATCGGTTTTTTCTTTTGGCAATCTTCCTTCCATTTTGGCTGAAGTCTCAATACATTCCAACAATGCTCAAATTGGAATTTACATTTATTTAGTTCTTGGTATAGGAATTTTGCATTAGCAATCTGGAAAAGAAAAAAAATACAAACTAAAAAAGTATGCAATAATATAAATATATTTCTAAAATATAAAATAATAAATACCTTGTCTTGCTCATTGATGCCACTTTGGTTTCTTGATTCAATCTGAGCATAGCATCCACAAAATTTGTTTGTAGCTAGTTGAATTGTTGACCAACGGTTCATCAAAGAAACTTGTGTACGTTCAGATTCAAAATTTTTGTATTTATGGAAGTACTCCCACAATCGTGCCCAATATGTTTTGTGTTTTTGTTCATTTCCTTGCACAACATCTAAACTGGTATTAAGCCATGCTGAGACAATAAGAAGATTCTCTTCTGCAGTAAAGTTGCCGCCACGTGATCTTTTAGAGTTAGATTCAACTGGAGTAGACAAATGAGATTCTTCAGTATCGGTGAAAATAGATATATTATCAGAGTTTGAAAGTTGGGTTGAAAATTGAGGATTTTCAGTGGAATCAGTATACAAATTTCCATCACTACCAACTTGAAAATTCATGTTTTAGAGAAAAGAAAACAGAACATGAATATATAAAAACTCAAAAGACCATCGTGGTGAGAGGAAAAACAATTTTTTTTTAAAAAAAAAAACTTAATAGGAGAGAGAAATAATAAATAAAATTTATTGAAACTTGTAATTTAATTAATTAAAATTATGATAAAAAGTGAGATTGACTCTCTAGATGTGAAGAGCCAAATCCATTCTTTAATTTATTTTTAAAGAATAGAGAGTTTATTAGACTCTTGTTTTTATATATTAACTCTTTATAATAAAGAGTTTAACTCATATAAAGAGTTTTTTTGAGATACTCTAAGATAATTAGTAAGATCGTGAGTAAGTATAACATTACTAAAAAAATACAATATGTAAAGTTGCCTTATCATCTTACATTAAGCAAGCATTTTTTATTTTTCTATGTTGAACCAACCCATATGTGTCAGTTTCATGATACTTGACAAAACCTCTTTTGTTCATGTGTCATTATTTCCCATATCTAGAGAATATTTAAAGCATGACCCTTGGAAAGGAAAAGGAGCAAATGAGATGGGACTTTTTATTTCATTGCATATAGAACATCTGCTGTTTCTCTTTAACCACTGTAACCTGCAATTAGGGATTGACTTCTTGGTCTCCATTGTCAGTCTCTTAAAGTTCTTACCCTCAAAACCAAAATATAATAACATCTCTAAATGACTCTTTATATAACCCAAACTCTTTATTATAAAAAGTATATCAATCAAAATAAAAATCTAATAGATTCTTTATCTTTAAAATATAAATTAGAGAGTGAGTTTGACTCTCCATATTTAGAGAGTCAAATTTCACTCTCTATCTTAATTTTAATTAATAAACTACAAGTTCATATATATTTTATTTATTAATTATCTCTTCTATTAAGTCTCTTTCTAAAAAATAAAGAGTATCTTCATTAAATTTAAAAAGTCTATTGGATTTAAATAAAAATTGTGTTCTTTATATTTAAAAATTAATAAAGATGTTCTTTATTTGTATGAAAGATACTCTTTAAAATAAAATAGCCAACTTTCCATAATCATTCCCTCAATTATTGGAAACTAAAAACACAAACGGAGTCGTTGTGTAATTGTGTTGTCTATAACTAGTGCCATCACTTTCATTGTATATCAAGAGGGGTGAACAACTTACACATACCCAAAGTTTGCTGCATAAACAAAGTGGTACCCAAAAGGTTTAGAAATGATAAACACCCACATTCTGTCATGTTCGGTTAGAAATTTCCATCTACTAAAAGATAACAATAGTAAAAAGACTGGAATACCAATCGATCTCTATTCCCAACGTGCACTAGTAAGGGTCAATATCATTGTTTATCACCGAACTTTGCAAAAAAATGCTAAATTTGGTCAAAAAATTGATCGATGATGCAAAAAGGCTGTGCAAATGGGCTTGGGGTGAGAATGGATACGGAAAAGAAGATTTAAAATTTAAAAATTTTGTGATTGTAGATGAAATTACTATACTGTCTTTTAGCAGGCAGAAATCCTTAACAATATATGACAGAAAGTATTTATTTATCAATTCTAAACTTTATGGGTATCAATCTGCCATTATTCCAAACTTTGGGTTGGTGGAATTCGTTCGGCCTATATCGAAATATTAAATATGTAAAACCAAGTCATAATAACCACAAAACTAGTGGATAAGATGGCGGCCCGAAGGGTTAAAAGTGTGAAAGTGGGATGGCCTTAATTAAGCGGAAACAAATTTCATTCATGGAATGATAGAAGAGAGAATCATTCAACATTTATGTAAGGCCATGGTCTTAGCCCTTTGTGTTGTATAAATACAGTCCCAACACCAATACCATCACCTGCATCAAACACCTAATATTCCTTCCTTCTGGTTCATCTGCATATTTCTACAAATTTTGTGGCACGTAAAGGAACTGGAGACACCGACGTTTATTCTTCATTCATTCAATGGTTCCCTTCTCTTTTTCTGTCTTTTTGTTTCAGTTATTTTAACGATGGGTTCACCTTTTCTTCTAATATTCTTGAATCGCTGCCTGATATATGTTGAATATTCATGTTAATATTCTCTTTCTGCTGATATGAGATAGGCATCTATGTTGAGTATTGGTTGGTTTATAATAGGCCGAACGACTTGCGCATACCCAAGGTTTGTCGAAACAATAAATTGGTACCTAAAAGGTTTGGAAATGACAAACAGGTACCTTTCTTCATGTGCTGTTAGTGATTTCTGTTTGTTAATAGTGAAAAGACTAAAATGCCCTTAAAAGTTTGATATTTTAGTTTTTTATAAATTTAAAAATTTCTAAAAAACCTCATAGGTTTGCTAATTTAACTAAACACCCCCATATATAAAAAGTTTGTTAAATGACAAAAATACCCCCACCCCACACAGTGCCAGATTTCGGCCACCACCGTTGGAAACTGGCTGGGAAATTGCGTTACGACACAGACCCATCGGATCTGTGTCGTAACGTGTCGATCTGGCCTTTTTCGACCAAATCCGTGGTTGATCTGTCGGAAAAGGCCAGATCTACGGCTAGATCTGGCCTTCGTGGCCGCAAAACTCCATCTGCGGCATTGACGGCCAGATCTGGCCTTTTTCAGCGAGATCAGCCACGGATCTGGCCGGAAAAGGCCAGATCAACGCATTACGACACAAATCCGATAGGTCTGTGTCGTAACGCAATTTTCGGCCAGATTCCGACGATGGTGGCCGGAATCTGGCACTGTAGGTGGTGGGGGTGTTTTTGTCATTTAACAAACTTTTTATATATGGGGGTGTTTAGTTAAATTAGCAAACCTAAGGGGTTTTTAGAGATTTTTAAATTTATAAAAAACTAAAATATCAAACTTTCAAGCGCATTTTAGTCTTTTCACTGTTATCAAATAGAAAACAGTAACAACACATGACAGAAGGTACCTGTTTATTGTTTTTAAACCTTTTAGATACCACTTTGTCGTTACGGCAAATCTTGGGTATCCGCAAGTCGTTTGGCCGTTTATAATATGTTAATGTAACTATGGATTTGTTCTTATAAGAGAAAACCAAACAAATTTCGATTCTACATCTTATCCAACTCATGAACAAAAAATCTGATTTTTGGTAGTGGGTCGGTGTCTTTATTCTTTTTCTGTTGTTTTGTTTGCGTTGATGATTGTCAAGAAATTTAAGCGACTTATAAAGAGAGTTCCGGAAGAAAATTTCGAACCGTATGAAATTTATGATTGAAATCTTTTGGGAGTAGGATATCTTTCCATGTTTAACGACTAAGGAATGTGGAAAATTGGGCTGTATATAATCGCATATGTGAAACTAATTTGAGCATGCTAGAAATTATTGAAGTTTTGGTCAGAGATTCTTTCAATATATATTGGTGATGTGTAGTCAGTCAGTATGTTATAGCCGTTCAGTGAAAGAACTTGGATGACTTCTGGGCAATATTAGGTTTTTGTGCAGAAACATTGGTTTAAGAACAGGGGATGGTAGAGGTACTATGTGGTGCCTTATGGATACTCAAAATGATGAGATGTCTAGATGTAATTTGTGCCTCTGTGTATTCTGATACAATTTTCTGTTTGAATCTGCATTGATTTAGTGATTACTTGTTATGATTGTTTGTTCATAAATATTATCACTCTAGCCTAGTGCTTGAACTGGTATGAGAAGTCATCCAAGATATGATGTTATCTTAAAATTACACAACTTTAATTTTTTTTTTTTTCGCCATTTTAATCTATTCTTATAACTTCTAACTCGTTCTTTTCAATCGCTGTTTCTGTTGGCTCCGGGTGATTCATATTGTTATTTCACTTCTCTGTTTGATGTTAACTTGCTTTATTTTAAGAAATTTCACAAATTTATTATCTGCAATTGATTATTTATTAGGATGCTTGCTTTTGCAAAATTATTCTGGATTATCCCTCTTGTTCCTGTTTTTGATGATGTAAATTTTCAGATGGAAGTGCAAAATTCTGAACATTCGCATATAATTGAGGTATCTGGAGATGTGCCGACTGTGGAAAGAGGCCTGGCTGGGAGTAAGTTTTGTGGGACAGCACCATGTGGTTTTTCAGATGCTAAAACCTCGTCCAAAGATGCGAAGGAGCGTAATGCATCCATGCGGAAACTTCTGATAGAAGTTGTGCTCTACATCATATTTATGAGTGTAGAAGTTGTTGGAGGTATTAAAGCGAACAGTCTTGCTATATTAACCGATGCAGCTATCCTCTTTTTAGATGTTGCAGGATTTGCCACTTCGCTGTTCTCGCTCTGGGCAGCAGGATGGGAGGCAAATCCACGTCAATCTTATGGTTTCTTCAGAATTAAGATAATCGGTGATCTGGTTTCAATCCTATTGATGTGGCTTCTTACTGGGATCCTTGTATACGAAGCCATTGCTAGACTTATTCATAATACTGGTGAAGTTCAGGGATTTCTTATGTTTGTTGTTTCTGCATTTGGTTTAGTTGTTAATATAGCAATGGCAATCTTGTTGGGTCATGATCACGGACATGGCCATGGTCACGATCACGGGCACGGACACGGACACGGACATGGACATGGACATGGACATGGTGATCATTATCATGGACATGGTGGAGATGATCATAGGCACGAGGATGGACATGGTGATGTGCCTTTGCTTAACACTAGTAATTCCGAAGACGGGAAGAAACTGAAGGGTGGACCAAAACAGAAGCAGCAACGAAACATCAATGTACAGAGAGCTTGCCTTCTTGTACTTGGGGATTCGGATTCCATTCAGAGTGTTGGCGTAATGATTGGTGGGGCAATCATATGGTACAAGCCTGAGTGGAAGATTATTGATTTGATATGCACTCTCATATTCTCAGCTATTGTGTTGGGCACAACAATCAGAATGTTACGAAACATTTTGGAGGTTCTGATGGAGAGCACGCCTAGAGAGATTGATGCCACTAGACTTGAGAAGGGGCTTTGTGAGATGGATGAGGTTGTTGCCATCCACGAATTGCACATTTGGGCAATAACAGTTGGGAAAGTGTTACTAGCGTGCCATGTCAAAATAAAGCCCGATGCTGATGCTGACATGGTTCTTGACAAGGTTATCGAGTATATTAGGCGAGAATACAACATCAGCCACGTGACTATTCAGATAGAGCGCCAGTAGGCAGTAGTTCTGGGGAGAGATCACTGGGTATGTGGTGGTGGTTTTTTGGGTGAGCCGGGTGTCAGTTTTAACTTTTCAAATTCTTTTACACCAGTTAAATGATCACATCAACTATGTATTTGGCTGATTTATATTTCTTTAGCATACATATAGGTGGTGTTGACTGTTGAGGGATAATTTCTTATGCGTTATATCAATTACTGCTTTCTTCAATCTTCCTTTTTCTGTTATCGCTTTGATCATTTGCCAGTTAGATTCATTAAACAGATTTGAATGGGCTCAAATTCAATGCCCTGTTAAAATCAAGTATAATTATGCTTCTGATACACGTACATAAGACAAGCCATAATGACAGTAGAGGAAACTACTTCACATAGATTTATAGAACTCTATAACCGAGAAATTAAATGCAGAACATGGCACTTGAATATGAGNCTTGGAGGGATGCAATGAAGGAGGAGTTAAACATGATTGAGAAGAATAATACCTGGGAATTGTTGGATAAACCAGCAAACAGAAAGGTGATTCAGGTTAAATGGATTTACAAGAGGAAATTGAATCTAGATGGATCAGTTCACGTGCACAAAGCAAGGTTGGTTGTCAAGGGGTTTGCACAACAGTTTGGAGTGGACTTTTCGGACACATTTGCACCAGTGGCCAGGCATGATACAATCAGACTTCTCCTTGCTCTAGCAGCCCAATCTGAATGGAGAATTTTTCTGTTAGATGTTAAGTATGTGTTCTTGAGTGGTTGGGTCAATGATGAAATATATGTGGAGCAGCCGGAGGGATATGATTATGAAGTTGAAGGCCAAGAGAACAAAGTCTATTCGCTAAGGAAAGCTTTATATGGCCTAAAACAGGCTCCTAGAGCCTGGTGTAGCAGAATTAATGATTACTTAATCAGTTTGGGATATATGAGGAGTCCTAATGAGCACACATTATATGTGAGAGAGCTGGCAGGGGAGTTCATCATTGTGTCTTTGCATGTGGATGATTTACTCATCACCAGAAGCAGCACAAGCCAGCTGAATGAATTCAAGAGGCTATGCATAGTAAGTTCAAAATGACTGACTTAGGGGAAATGTCTTATTTCCTTGGTATGGAGATCAGTCAAACTCAATATGGAATCTTTGTTAGCCAACAGAAATATGCTAATGAAGTCTTGAAAAAGTTCAATATGGACAAATGCAAACCAATGGATACTCCATTGGTTGCAAACCTGAAGCTGAGCAAAGATGATGGGGCTGTGAAGGTTGATAAGGGAATTTACAGTAGCCTGATAGGGTGTTTGCTGTATTTGACAACAACCAGGCCTGACTTAATGTTTGCAACAAGCCTCCTCTCCAAGTTTATGAGCAACCCGAGTGAAATCCACTTCATGGCAACCAAGAGAGTGATGAGGTACATTAAGGGGAGTTCTAATCTTAGTGTTTGGTTTAAGAGGTCTGAAATTTTTTAGCTTGTTAGATACTCTGACAGTGACTGGGCTAGATCCATTGATGAATGAGGAGTACTTCTAGCTAAGTATTCTTCTTGAATTCAGGTGCTGTTTGTTGGTTGTCCAAAAAACAGGATACCGTAGCTCAGTCCACAGTAGAAGTAAGAATATATATCTACTACTGCTGCTGTGAACCAAGCCATTTGGCTAAGAAAAATCTTAGATGATTTGAAGCAAAAATAGAAAATTCTACTGTGATTCTATGTGATAATCAATATGTTGTTGCAATGGATAAAAATCCACTCTTACATGGTCGCACAAAGCGTATCAAGATTAAGTTTCATGTTGTAAGGGAGGTTGAATGTAATGGAGAAATTAAGTTGCCATCCACGAATTGCACATTTGGGCAATAACAGTTGGGAAAGAGTTACTGGCGTGCCATGTCAAAATAAAGCCCGATGCTGATGCTGACATGGTTCTAGACAAGGTTATCGAGTATATTAGGCGAGAATACAACAGCAGCCACGTGACTATTCAGATAGAGCGCCAGTAGGCAGTAGTTATGGGGAGAGATGACTGGGTATGTGGAGGTTTTTTTTTGGGTGAGCCGGGTGTCAGTTTTAACTTTTCAAATTCTTTTACACCTGTTATATGATCACATCAACTATGTATTTGGCTGATTTATATTCCTTTAGCATACATATTGGTGGTGTTGACTGTTGAGGGATAATTTCTTATGCGTTATATCAATTACTGCTTTCTTCAGTCTACCTTTTTCTGTTATCGCTTTGTTCATTATGCTTCTGATACACCTACATAAGACAAGCCATAATGACAGTAGGGGAAACTACTTCACATAGATTTATAGAACTCTATAACTGAGAAATTAAATGCAGAACATGGCACTTGAATATGAGAATACCCTGCGTCTTCTCCCAAACTTTGAAATTCTTTTCTTGTCCTCTCCTTTCCTCTCGAATTCATGTTCATCATGAACATATCTAACTGAAATAAGCTTTTTGCAGCAAGAATAGCTTCAGGGGCTTCTGGTATTACTAAATCAACTACTTTCACTTTCCCGTTGGCCGGTAATGCTTCATAGCAATTTTTTAGTATCTTCACGCAGTGCTCATCGTCCCAACTGTGTAGCATCCACTGTTTCATACAAATTCTGTATTGATTAGCTCAAAATTTAATTGAATAAGACAAACTATAAATTGAAATGAATACTTGGATTCCTTCAACTTCAGGAGTATCAACCAAGTCATTAACAGAAATCATTTAAATTGTGCTAAAATGACCAAGTCTGATATCTGCAAACCTTCATGAAAATGGCTTCTCCTTTTGGAATGTCTATGAACATATCCCCTGCAACAACATTTGTTCAAATATCAAATATGTAAAACTGGTAACCTTTTTGGACCGTTTCAGCATCATAATCAAACATGTAAATAAGTCAAAAAAGAAAAAAAAGAAGATAAAGTGCAGTTGTTAAGTCTACTATGAGATCAGAAACAAAACCTACAAGTTCATACCAGGATAGGAAGTTGACTTTTCAATAATTGAAGGCAGATCGTAGTTGACACCCTTAATTGCAGGATATTTGGATATAATCATCTTAAGGATAAAACCATCCCCACCACCCACATCAACCAGAGATTTTAAACCATCAAAACCTTTATATATTTCCAGGATTTTCTGCATAAATATTGGGTTGAAATCTTTCATGGAGTCTTTGAATATTTCACCAAGTTTGGCATCCTTCCCAACATACTCAACAGCACTCATCCCATGCGCCTTGTTAAATGGAAGTTCCCCTTCAATGACTGCTTCTTTTAGATGATGCCACATANTTCTGTATTGATTAGCTCAAAATTTAATTGAATAAGACAAACTATAAATTGAAATGAATACTTGGATTCCTTCAACTTCAAAAGTATCAACCAAGTCATTAACAGAAATCATTTAAATTGTGCTAAAATGATCAAGTCTGCTATCTGCAAACCTTCATGAAAATGGCTTCTCCTTTTGGAATGTCTATGAACATATCCCCTGCAACATGCTCAATACCTGCAACAACATTTGTTCAAATATCATATATGTAAAACTGGTAACCTAACCTTTTTGGACCGTTTCAGAATCATAATCAAACATGTAAATAAGTCAAAAAAGAAAAAAAAAAAAAAAAAAATTCTTTATACAAACTGTAGAATCAAATAGAATTTTCTACGAGTAGTTAGCAGTAAAGATCAAAATTTTCGGCTCATTATAGTCAAAGAAGATAAAGTGCAGTTGATAAGTCTACTATGAGATCAGAAACAAAACCTAAAAGTTCATACCAGGATAGGAAGTTGACTTTTCAATAATTGAAGGCAGATCGTAGTTGACACCCTTAATTGCAGGATATTTGGATATGATCATCTTAAGGATATAACCATCCCCACCACCCACATCAACCAGAGATTTTAAACCATCAAAACCCTTATATATTTCCAGGATTTTCTGCATAAATATAGGGTTGAAATCTTTCATGGAGTCTTTGAATATTTCACCAAGTTTGGCATCCTTCCCAACATACTCAACAGCACTCATCCCATACGCCTTGTTAAATGGAAGTTCCCCTTCAACGACTGCTTCTTTTAGATGATGCCACATATCTAACATCACTTTGTCCTGAACCAATTCTAGTAAGGGAGCCAAACACCCTCCATCTTGGTTCCGGATGAAGTATTTGGCTACTGGTGCCAAACCATAGACACAATCAACTTGACCACCATCAAGATCACTAGTAAGAGAGCATGTTAAAATAGAGTGGCTAGCAAGAAGGCGGAGAATTCGATCGAGAATTGAAGGGGCTTGTGATTTGTTTTGAGTAACAAGTTGGGCTGCAATTTGTGAAGAGGAGAGTTGACCTCCAGGACCAGCTTTGTCTATCATATCAAGCACACCAAGTTCAATTGTTCCTTTTAACACCATAGGCAAGACTGATGCGCTCACTAGTTGCATGGCAAGATTAAAGATCTTAGAATATGATCGTCCTCTTCATTTGTGGACGTTTTCATCTGGTTTTCCGCGGAGTTCATCTTGTGTTTTTGGTAGTTGAAAACACAAAGTATTAGGGAGGATAATCTAAGATCTTTAATCTTTCTGACCAGTGCAAATAGTCAGTGCCGTCTCGGACCATTTGTGACTCTAGGTAGGTAGGAGTTATTTTAGGACCCTCTAATATTATAAGCATATATTAAAAAAATTATTATTATTATTATTATTTTATTTTATTTTACTTTTACCTTTTGAGATGAAAAATCACTAGGAGAGGTGGACAATAATCGACAGGCTAATAAGGTTAGGTTGGTGGACGGTTTTGGAGAGTAGATATTAAAAAAGTGATAGGTGGTGAAATAGGTGATTTCCAATGTCAAGATTGATAAGAAAATACTTGAGAAGTCACAGCCCAAAAGGTATCGATGGCCGACGATTGGCAGAGTAAACGGATAAGGTATGATAGAGGTTTTAGTGAGAGCGTTGAGGAGAGGAAGATGGTAGTGTCAGGGAAGGCCAACAATGTCGAGTACATGCTAAAAAGGCTGGAAATGGTTGTCGTGTGGTGGAGTTGGGTTGCGAGATTCATCAAAAATTAGTCAAATCGAGGGCTATCAAGGTTGGAAAATGATGAAATGATGATTTCGGATGATTTTGGTGAGAAAATTGACCGGAACCAAAATTGACCAAAACCAAGTCCAAACCACTAGCGACAGAAGAGAGCTGGAGATGATTTATGTGAATATCAAATTTTGGGATTGAATTGGGGGTGAGTAATTTAAGATATGTAAATGACTATTTTAGTCTTCTATTGTTAAAAGAGATTCAATGTGTTAATTTTACATCTGGTTTTCCGCGGAGTTCAGCTGGTGTTTTTGGTAGTGAAAACACCGAAGTATTGGGAAGAGGGTAACTAATTTAAGATTCTTTTAATCTTTCTGACCAGGCAAATAGAACTAGTTAATTAGTCTAGGGGGGACATTGTTTATGTTATAATATACCGTATGAAATACGAGCCTGGGTCATGACTTTTTGTCTTCTTCCCTTTTTCTCCTCAAATATTAAGAATTTCACAGCTTCTAATTAGAAAACAGCTTCAGCCGTGTTCCAAGTTGAGATTTCTCTTTTTGGGCTCTGCTGACTTATTACACGCTTGGTCTTCAAAATTTCTTATAAAAACAACAAATATCTTAAGAAAGGATAATTAGTTTTACTCATAGTCAATACCAGCACTACATAAAAATAATTCCTGACACTGTCTAATTAAAATTACATAACATTAACTTGATTAAGATGAAACTATTACACATCTAGGTCTGGGTTATTAAAAGAATGAACGGGTGTATATGAGTTAACCTAGAGGTATTGCATCCCAGCATCAGTTTAAGGGGGCTAGTGAGAACTATGATGGAACATATCCGGAGGTTTGAGCCTCAAAGAGGCATATATAGACAAATCATAGGCACCACTGCCAACACAGCGTTTTGAAATATTAGTTCCACCCATGTCACAACCAGAGCTAAACTTATGATTATTGCGCGACATACTGATCCTAATTAATCACTGTTCTTCTTAAATGGGTGTGAGCTGTGCCTTCAGGTTATCACGAAGGGACAAATGGGTGCTGTAATCCCTACCCCAACACTTTATTATCAATGGGAAACTCACTTAAGACCATGGTCTTGGAGCATGCAACCATAAGAGAAACACAGTATGACATTGTGAATTTGAAGAATGGTGGTTCGCGTCGGGCCAAAGGAACATTGTCAGACATGCAAATGAACCGAATCCTCTTCTCTAGGAATGATGATTTGACATTGTGAAAATAGATTCCCTTGTGTCAGGGTCTTAGAATAGTGAACCTAAAACTGACCCTGCAGAGTACCTAGGTGTGTAAGTGTGTTTTGTTGAACGTAGACATGAGCATGCTGCACATGCTAGAAAATATCGCTGTGCCAGTAGAGCTTTTAAATAACTTGTTTCGTATGGTTTGTTGATTGTCATGAGGGAAAAGTGGGACTATGAGGCATATTTGCCCAT